ACGCGCCTGGTCCACACGCGACGGACCAGGTGTTCCCAGGAACGGCAAATGGCCGGCTCGGATTCCAAGTGATTGGGGGTGCCACAGAGTTCACCTTGAGATGCAGCTGTTGAAGACTGACTCTCTATCCTGGAAGGATGATCGAGTTGGTCTGTCAATTGGCAGGCTCCTATGCCACGGGTTTCAGCGCACCGCGATACCTTAAAAGCGTGTTAGATGGTTTATAGTGAGGGATGGACACTGAGGTTCAGCCTCTCTCTCGTGCATTGGTCGATTTTCCGAGCCTGTCCACCAACTGATGCTGCGATTTAACACAATGACTAGCAGGACTGAAAACCGCCCATCTGTGCATGCCAGTCGCCACCTGGCCCTCACACAACACACCCGGTTTTCGCGCAAAGGGAATGGGCTGCTCGTATTCCACATGTGTTATAATAACATAGGAACCACGCGGAGAGGGGTCGAGGTTTCAGCCTCACACTTAAGTGAGAAGAGCCTGTTTCGTGACTGCGGCGGGTGATGCGGGATGCGTTTTTATGTGGCGTACGCGGTGATGGATGATGCGTTGCGGTAGGGTTAGGTCTGCTAAGATTTACCACGAATTGGCATGGAAGCGCATGTGACTGAACAAGCCCTAGTGGTGGATAAACATGCTCGGACAATGCGGATAGTATAGATGGGTTCATCGAGCGTAGACCGGGGTTCCAGGAACCTGCTGGCCAATCTCAGTGTGAAGGCGATGCGCGATGTGAATGTTCAGTCACAATAAACACACGTTAGGATCGGGTCCGCATTGGCAGTTTTTGGGATAGTGGCGGCAGTGATGATGACTGTCAGGATGCGGGAGTATTCACACCGATGATGGAAGCGGGGATGGCGGTAATCGTCTTCGCGGAGATTTTGACAGGGAGGGCGTATGGGAGGTTATCAACAGTGGCAAAGCATCAGGAGGGTGTACACCAGAGTCGGTGGGGTCGCCGTCGTGAAGGTTAGTGCACGGGTGACGACGACAGTGTTTACGAAGACACCAGTTGAAGCTGTCCGGTTTCTGATGCCCCGACTTCGGAGATGTCCGATGAGGCCGATCCGCATGCAGAATGTTCATTGACAGCGTGGATAAGTTGGAAGGGGTTTGCTGTCAGTGTTGTGGTTCGGAGGCGTCTGAGAACCGCGAGTCGCCCATTTTGCTTTGGAAGTGGCGATCAAGTTAACCTTACAAATTGCCGCTCCAGTCTTCGGAGTTCTTCTCTAGGCCGGTTGGTGCTGGGCGAGCTCCTGCCAGGTCACTGGGTTCATTTACATTCGCCGGTGAGTGGTTTTTATGATGCTCTTGTAGCATCGTGTTTGCCACCATATTGGAGAGCACCCGATTGGCATCGTGTAGAAGAGTCGCTTTGATATGCCTCTTTCATTCATCCTCTCGAGGTCGCCGCTCCAACACAATTAATTTTGTCTCGGCATGGTGTAGATGCTCAGGATTCCGTCTAGTTCAAGGATATCTGGCAGGGAATCCTGCGTTGCCCTCTCGACTTCAGTATTCATATTAATGCAGTTGAGGTGGATGTGGTTGAGTCTACACGTCTGCTTCTTGTCGACTGCCTAGGTCCTGTCCCCGCGAAACTGCGTCGTTAAGGTTACAGCTTTTTGAATGCTCAGTCTTGCGTTGAAGTGGAGGCCGTGGTCCTGTGATTGACCAAGGGTTTGGCTGAGCCACATTGTCAGTTTTAACGCAACGTAGGGATATACTGCCTAGATGAGCACATTTGTCTGCAGTCTCCAGCTCAATGCCGTTGATGGTGGTGAGAGGGAGGTTGTGTGCAGTGTTAGTTGACTGTTTATGTATGACCGCCGTTTCGTTCGTATTGATGGTTAGCTCGAAGTGTGCGCAGGTGGTGATGACGTAATTCATGTTTCTTTGCACATCCGACTCTGTCATGATGTTGAACACACATTCGTCCGCGGAGAGCTGATCTTAGACGAGCGTCTTGGAGATGGATGTTGAGGCCTGAATGCATAGGTTATCGAAAAGCTGACCTTCTATCCGATTGGCAATGCCGATTCCAGTGCGCTCATCATGATAGGCGTTCATTCCTACGGCAGGCAACATGCCCAAGGGGCGCTACAATAAACCTATTCTATTCTATTGAAGAGGGCGGGAGCGAGTGCGCAGACCTCCCTCACCCCATTAGTCACTGTGAATGCTTTTGACACTACCCCATTGTCCCTGATGCGTGCCATCCTCCCGTCGCGAAGCTGGCATACCATGTGCGTCGATCGTCCTGAACAGCCGAATCTCTGCATGATTCTCCAAAATCTATCAAAATTCTCCGTGTTGAAGGCCTCTGTCGGGCCCACAAAGTTAAATATGGGTGGGCCGGCATTTCATGACGGACGGTGAATATCATATCGGTAGTTCTGCGAGGCCGTCGGAGGTCACACTGACTTTTCGAGAGATGTCCATGTTCCGAGCTGCCGATGATGGCGATGATCTTTCCGGAAGTGTTGAGCAGTGAAATGCCTTTGTGGTTATCACAGATCTGCCTGTTCTTTGACGCCTTATAGAGATGGACGACGGTCGCGTCCCTAAAATCCCGATGAACGTGTCCTGGTCATCGCGTCTCTTGGGACAACGTTGTGAGTTTGCCAATCATTTGGAAACCGCCACGCTCATAGACCTCCCTCAGGACCGCGTTGGGTCCCGATGCTTTCCTAATGGAGAGCTGGCGGCGTGAATACAGTGTCGCAACACTTCGGAAAACTTTTCCCCCGTCTGTCTGTCTTACGGAAATGGTGGTAGGCGGGGTGGTATGATACCAGTGTCGCAACACTCCGATTTGCCGCGCATCGGATTGTTGCGACACTGGTATCATATCGTTAAGTCTTCCAGTGACTGGCTGACAACGGAGCATACTGTCCGGATGCACCTATCCGGTTCTGCAAAGATATTTTGTGACATAAAAAGATCCTGACACGAATAAAAAAGAGTCGGATTTGAGGGAGGAAATGACGGGCAGGGATACTGGTGACTATTGTTAGCCAGCTCATTTTCTGTGGAAATCCACGGGCCGGATACTATAACGTATTCCTGTCGGAGCAAAGCTGAGGAGCGGATAAGTTAGCTGACCCAGTATAATAATGATAATGATTTTTATTCAAGACCCGTGGGGGCCCTTTCGTAGCAAGTAGGAATAAATTTTACATGAACTTTAGAAAACCTCTCGCACCTGAATGTATAAAAATCAGGCAGGACCGGCCTGTATGTAGCAATGTATAACGGATTTCATGAAGGGGCAAGTAGGGGGGTCAGGCAGGACTGACCTGCATGTGGTACTGAGTAAAGGTTCGAAACGGGCATTATCAAGGCGGAATTCAAATGCCGGATGAGGCTATTCATGTCAAAGTGGCGAATTGAAAACCAGTCTCGGGGCGATAGGAACCCAGGCGCGATCGGTTACAGTCAGCCGAGTCCAGCCGAGGAGGGGGCATGGGAAATGCGACCAGACTACTAGTATATGGCGAATACAGAGTGTTCTGCCAAGAGCGTCGATAGAGCGCATTCTGTGAGGGGCAAGTTGCATGAACTGAATCATGAGAAAAAACGGTGTGGAGGAAACATGCTGGGGTGGGGGGTGCAGTGTATTTGTTGAAACAGGAATTCTATTTAGAGGCGGGAATGTCGGCGTATTCCGCCTAACCTTTTCGATATGAGGTCTGGGGATAGTCGAAAACACTTTATGTTGTTGACCGTGGTGTTTGAGGCAGTGGCAGACGACTGGGGAGAAAAGATTCCTTAAAGGAGCTGGATTTACCCGGTGTCAGAGTGGCTGAGACGACATTTGGATTCGACTTTACTTTAGGCACTTGTTTAGGCTTGTAGGGGCTGCTGGGGGAGTCGGTAGGGACGTTTATATACCAGGCGTGTTGTTGCGTTTGAAGATCTTGGCATCAAGAGTAGTCGAAACCCCCACGGAATTGACTATGCCATGACGTGAAGAGGCCGCAGATGATGATGTGTTATTAAAGCTGACAATATTTGTCATTATGGCGGTGTTGGTTTCTGACAATTTCAATTTGTTCAGTCTTCTCTGCATTGATGTGAGGTCCGGCGAAACTGAGCAGCGCCATTTACGGTAGCAATCTTTAGTTATCTCCCTTCTCGACAAGATAAAGTCGACTTTTAACAAGGAGAAAAGTGTAACAAGTATCGTTGCAGTACGGAGCGAGCGCGACACTGAAGCCCGAACCACAACCATGTAGGAACAAATGCGCTCCTTCTACAGCAGATAAGTGACTCGGAATGTTTCGCAGCATAAAATTATGCCTGCGTTTTATTCTCTCCTCGGTTTCAGAGCTTATTACCCCAATAACTTAAAATGCTTGTTGAGTTAATTTTTCAGAAGTGCTGCTTATACTGCCATATATCAGCTGATCTAGTATTTCGTCGGCTGACGTTCTGTTACGACGAACAGAGGCGAAGTTTTGGACGATTAAGGGGTCAAGAGGTTCTAATTGGACTAAGGGGATTTTTGGGTTAGTCATTTCCAAGGAAGGCAGCAAGCAGATGCTGCCACCTGCCGCGTCTCCGGCCACGATTCTGGCACTCAGAGACGGAGGGGAGGTCGCAAACTTTCGTCTTTTAGCACGTGTCCTTCAGGGCATTACAGGATACTAGATAGGTTTTCAGTTTCAGTACACGGATAGAAGCGTTGATTAAGTACAACAAAACGCACGGTACTGCTGTTATTTTACTAAAAAAACTGGAAAACACGGTCTGACACGGAGTCACTAAAAAGGCGCTTCAAAAAATACAGTTACTTTACCAGACTGTCTAACAAGGCTGGGAGAGGTTATACCTGGCAATGATAAACGACAGTTAAAAAGAACTCAAATAAAACGAGGCATTAATCGCCGAATAATATCAAAGCATAGGCAACGCTTCACTTATCTTCGCGCCTCGACCTCGACCTTCAATGAGACCAAAGAGATATACGGTCCCCACAATGAAAGAAACTACCCCGCTTCCCAGCCCTGATAGCTCAACGCTTCCTAAGGAGAGGTCGCAGATTCTGAGGTGCTGGGCCGTGCACTTCAAAAACGTCCTAAAATGCTCCTTTACAATTCTTGACGCCGCTATCTACCGGCTCTCTCAAGTGGAAACCAACATGGACCTTAATTTCCAGCACTCACTTTCGGAAACCATCCGCCTCGGCCAAGAATTATCCAGTGGGAAAGCACCAGGCTGCGATGCGGTCCCAGCTGAAACCTACAGGCACGGCGGCCAACGTCTGATGGACCAACTCACGAAGCTGTTCCGAGAAATATGGCGACAGGGACAGGTTACTCAGAACTTAATAGACGCGAACGTCGTCCCTCTGTACTAGTGGAGAGGGAACCGGCAACTCTTTAATAACCACAGAGACACATCACTACTCAGTATGTCTGGGAAGACCTTCGCTCTCCTTTTTTTAAATTGTCTTAACGGCCACCTCAAGCAGGAAATTCTGCCGGAAGGCCAGTGTGACTTTGGACGACACTGAGACATCACCAATATGGTGTTCGCAGCTCGCCAGCTATAGGAGAGGTGCCAGGAAATGCGAACTCACATCTTAACTTCTTTTGTGGACTTGACGAAAGCCTTTGATACGGTGAATAGCGAGAGATTGTTGAAAATCTTGCAAAAGGCGGCTTTCCTGAATGATTTATGCTTATGGTACGTCTTATCCACGATTGGATGATAGCACATCACGGACAACGGCGCGATATCTGACGCATTCGCAGTGACCAACGAAGTGAAGCAGAGCTGTGTCCTCGCGCCCGCCCTCTACAGTCTCATTTCCTCCGCCATGCCGATGAACGCCTACCGTGATGAGCGCCCTAAGATACGCCTGGCCTACAGACGTGAGGGGCAGACGCATGTAGGTCCCGCGCGACTACCTACGGCTACCGTCCACGACCTGCTCTTCGCCGACGACTGTGTGCCTAACACCACGACCGAAGTCGACATGCAACGGAGTGCGGGCTTCTTCACCGCCGTGCGTGCCAACGTCGGCCTGACGATCAACACGGACAAAACAGTGGTCATGTACCAACCGTCACCGAACGCTGAATACAACTTTCCTCGAATCACTGTCAATGGCAACCGACTCGAAACCGCTGACAACTTCGGCTATCTAGGAAGCACACTTTCGCGCAGCATTTAAATCAACGGCGGGTTGGTCCTTCGGATCTCCAAAGCCAGTCAGACATTTGGTCGACTACAAGCCTCCATGTGAAATTGCCACGGCCTTCAACTGAACATCAAGCCGGAGATGCAAAGGCCGTCGTCTTGACGACAATCCTGTGTAGACCGTCTACGCAAGCCGTGTCAGGAAGCTCAACTGCTTCCATCTCAACTGCCTTTGCCGAATACGGAAGCTGAGATGACGGGACAGGATCCCAGACAGAAGTTCCAGAACAGACCGCAACTCTCGCTATCCGCACCATGCTGAGGCGACTGCAACTGCCATAGAGCGACCTCCTGGTGGGAATGGTTGACGCTTGTCTGCCAAAATAATTCTTCTACGCAGATGTCACTACGGGTGCCCGCCGACTGAATGGATCAAAACGACGCTACAAGGACACCTTGAAGAATTCTCTGAAGCGATTGCATAACAATCCAGACACCTGGGAAGACCTCGCCAGAACATACAGGCCTGGAGATGGGAAGTGAAGACTGGCGCAACCATCTACATGGCAAATCAGATCTGCGCCGCCAAAGCCAAAAGGGGGACTCACAAATCACAAGTGTACTGATACCTCAACGTCTACAGCCAATGTAGCGTGGATTATTGTCCTAGGTTAGACTAGATCCTAAGACGGAATTGCAAGAAAGGCGAAACTAATGGCACCAGAGACCACCAGACATCGACATTCAAATGAGCGACGGCGGAAAAGAAGGCGAGATGGCCGAAGCATATTTATTATTCTCTTACAAACTAAAATCGACCGTGCTTTTCCTTCGGTTCAAAAGCGTCCGGTTCGTCCGTGTCGGCTTCGGTCGGGTCGGCCAGGGCATTTGCTGACTGTGTCCCTATAAGAAAGAAAGGAACGATGTATAAGCATAAGGAATAGTCTTGTTGCATTGCACCAGCCGCCTTCAACATGTCCGCGCTGCTAACGCACATTCCGTTTGAGAATCGGCCGCGTAGAGCACCTGAAACAATGCCCCGACAACCCGGCAACGCCATCTTCTCCTCCCTCCGAACATCCCGACTGTTACCCCTGTCGCAAACGCCACGGCGACGACCGCCCCGTCACCACTGATCAGATCGCTGATGCCCGTCGCCATCGATCTCCGACATCATCCGCCCTCCCCCAACCCCTGCGTCGACCACGGCGACCAGCTCCGCCAACACCTCGACCTCTCGCCCTCTCTCCGTTGATGGGACAACACTCGACGTCCCGTCGTCTACTACCATCACTATC